AAGAAAATTTTGAAATTTCAAATTCGACAATATTCTCACCTGGAAAATGCATCTTCATTTTCAGCGTAGGAGAATTCATCACCAGCAGCAGAGTAAAGATATGCCCATCCCTCAGCCGATACTTTTTCTAAAAATGTCGGAAAAAATGCAAGGTGCAGGGATCGAACGTGCGCCCTATTCCTACTCTCAGCAACTGCCTTGAAATCCATCGCATTTAGCATCATATCGAGCGTAGCTTCACTATCACTGATAGATCTCTCAACAGGGACTTCCTCCTCAGCCGTTGACGATGTAGTGTCAACAATTTCTTCAAAAACACCAACAAGGGCAGACTAAGAGTGAAACATGAAGTTGGAAAATATAATGAGTTCACAACCGTGAAATTTTGGTAAATCATAAGCTATCGTAAAATTTATTTTTCTCATTCTTGTGAGGAAATTTTAAACTGGGAATATAATAAGTTGACAACCGTGAAATTTTGGTAAATCATAAGCTATCGAGAAAATTAATTTTCTTGTGAATTCTAGGCATTCCAGTATGCCAGCACCAAGGGCAGACTGAGAGCGACGCATGCAATGTTGGAGGAATATATGTTCGCTTTCCTCAGCTGAACTCACGAATTACAGCAGTTAACATACGAATTCGGTTGGCAGTGGACAGATAAAAATTAAAATTTCCCAAAATTTCCTTAGAATTTTCATAATGTCGCCAACAACATGTGCATATTTTCAAACAGAGAACTCATAAGCGCTCTCCCTCTCGCCAAAATTATTATACGCAAACACCTCAACCACGATAAAGCCAACAACTCTTTATAATGGAGGATGAAAACAATACTGTGTATAACACTCCAGAGCATCAGAAAATTTCGCGCGCCACAAAATTCACCCATGCCCAGCAGCAACTTACATCAGGCATAACTCTCTCGATCATATCTTCTGAATGGAATTTCTCAAACTCTTTTGTTGCATCCTTACCCGCATTCCTCAGCAGAATCGCCGATCCACCCGGATGCTCCGATAGGAACTCGGTGATATCATATACTTTTCCTAAGGCACAGAATTCAAGATTATTAAAAATATACACATTATAGTCTACACACAGGATTATATAATACTCTATGCTAATTATAGTTTCTTAACAACTAGAGTATAGAATCGGCTTGTGGGGTTGGGCGCCTTTCATTTCGGAGTTGCTGTTGAGTTCGCAGCCATACTCCTATACTGGCTACTACCTGCCTGGTGGGAGGAGTGTTGCTCGAGAGAAGAAAATGGAAATTGTATTATATACATACATATGTATAGTATATACCATACAAGTATACATATCTATAAATGGGCAGAGTAACGTTTTCCTACAGTTACGGTCTGCGTAACAAAAGCAGTTTACGGTTACGGAAAGGCCTTACGCCTTTACGGTTGGTGCTGAACTGCTCTTTCTGGAGTTGTGGCGGGAACATTCGCTGTAATACACTTCACCATAGCTCAAAAATAATTTCTAACTCGATTTTTCAAACTTTCATAATACAGTCTACAATATTGTCTAGTACTTCTTAAAGGAGTGCCTTGACAAAAGATAAGAAATTTCCGAGGAAAATTTCCAAATTGGTGAAATTTCTCCATCAAAAAATGCTATCAGCTCAGCCCTAATAGTGGAATCTTGAGGTTGAAGAGATAAGATACGGAATAGGTCCTTACCGAGTATCGCCATCCAGCAGTTGTCCTTCTCACGGTGATCTCTCAACTCGAGGGCAGTCACCACCCTAGGCATATATAGGAGTTTTTATAAAACTACGGCAATGTGTAAAGTACTTACTCGCTCATACAACAAAGTTTCACACGTGGAGTGGCGTAATACTCTGTGAAAAACGCGATATTCGCGGTGATATGAAATATATTTTTCACTAGTGTTTTTCATATCACTAGGGTGGTGAAACTTCAACGTACATCCTACTTTACTATACAACTATAATAAAGGGTATCCTACAACTTCGACATCGATTTCGAATGCACCTGTAACTTTTCGTTAACCTTTAGCTGGCTTATGACATTTCGAGGAGCGCTTCAATAATACGTCAGAAAATCACAACCGTTTTCTTCTCTATTGCCGAGCTAGAGTAGATTTTTTTCCGAAAAATTGCAATTTTCTGAAACTCAAAATTCTCGCCGTTGAGAAAACTCGAGAAAAACATTGTTGAAGTTCTAAAAATTTCATTTTCAGGGCAAAAACGCTGCAATGTCATGAATTTCGCGTTGCGGGACAAAAAAATGCAATTTTCCGGAAAATTTACTCTAGCTCGGCAATCGAGAAGAGTACGGATGTGATT